ACATAAAGGGAAAATTGGATAATATATGAGTAGCTAGTATGGTAGCCACACCAAGAAGTGTGTGAACCTACTTTCTAAGGAAGGTGGATCAAACTGTGCCAAGCGCTTTGTTTTGCTAAATTGGTCCAAGTAACACAGGAATGTGTACGGTGGGGCGGGGTGGGGGTGTCCCTAATAACTACAGGGCCTGTGCTCTGCCGAGAGGCCTTTGCACATTTGGTCCAGAACTGAGGCCTGGACACAGGAACCCGAATAAAGCTCCGGGGCTCCTCCTCCACATTCTCCCAAGTGATGCTCAACTCCGCCACGAAAAAGTACTGATAGGGGGTTTCCCTGGTGGTGCAGTGGTTGAGAGTCCGCCTGCCGATGCAGGGGACGCGGGTTCGTGCCCCGGTCCGGGAAGATCCCACATGCCGCGGAGCGGCTGGGCCCGTGAGCCATGGCCGCTGAGCCTGCGCATCCGGAGCCTGTGTTCCGCAACGGGAGAGGCCACAACAGTGAGAGGCCCGCGTACCACAAAACAAACAAACGAACAAAAAAAAAGAACAACCCCACGCGACAGTTACCATCCTCATAACCCTGCGCTGAACTGCAGTGCGTTTCTGACACAGACGGACCACCTAGAGTCAGCACAAAGCCCACAAGTTCAGGGCACCGTCCCCAACACGGCTGCTCCACTTCAGATTTCAGCCACAAGTCTGGGCATCCCCAGACCACCTGCACTTCTGACCAATTAGCTACAAATTCAGGGGCTCCCTCAACCCTTCTCAGGTTTGAGCATTCACTCAAATGATTCACAGAACTCAAGAAAGCCCTATACTTACCATTGCAGCTTTATGGTGAAGGATACAAATCAGGACCAGCTAAACAAATAGACACACAGGGCAAGGTCTTAGAGAGTCCTGAACTCAGAGCTTCGGTGCCCTCTTCCCATGGAGTAAGGGCACATTATCCTCCCAGAACGTTGATATGTTTACCAGTCAGGAACACAGGTTAGGCTGCCTCAAAGCCCCAGTTTTAAGTCACATCATTGGTTTTTAGACCCTCAGAGTGAGCAAGGTCAAATGGTTGGATGGATAACTTGGTGGACAGACAGAAAACAGTGGCCCCGTCTTTTTATTTTATTTTATTTTATTTTATTTTATTTTATTTTGGCCACACAGCTTGTGAAATCTTAGTTCCCCGACCAGGGATTGAACCCCGGCCCTCAGCAGTGAAAGCACCGAGTACTAACCACTGGACCACCAGGGAACTCCCCCAGTGGCCCCATCTTTTTCCACTCCCGTGCGCAACTCTGACTGGAAAGCAGATTCACAACAGACTGTACTGCGAGTAACCTTCTCACTCATCACTTCTGTGGAGGGACATCTCTTCCTCATTCCGCACTGTCTTCTCCAATTGTCATACTACACGCATATCCTAAATCGACAGTGTTCCACAGCTAACGCAGACGAACCATAACTGAAACTCAGATCAATCATTTCCTCTTTAAAGACAAGTTAGAAATGTTAGAATTACAAATGAAACTGACCTCCTCGCAGAAACAATGTCAGACTGAATACACGGGTGTGACGTGAGTCCAGTCACTGAAGCTCTGAGTGTCGCACAGGGATGTATAAAACGGAGAGAGAAATACAAAGCACCTCCAGCTGTTGTTTTGAGGATTAAATGGAATTATCCCTCTGCACAAGTGCTGATGCCCGGTAACTGCTCAAAAACTATCAGTTGTTATCACTGTTTATATTAGTAATAAGTGAAAACCCACAAGTGTTTAGTGAACTACTGTACTCCGTGTAGGTACTGTGCAGAATTTTTGTGTATTCCAACTCAAGGACTCCATGGAAGAGAATATTAGAAACAAAAGTGGGCATCTATCAGAATGTCTCAGCGATTAAAAACCCTAGGAGAGCATTTCCATGTTCAAACCCCAAAGGGCACGTTCGGCAGCCGCTGTTTCATTAGCAGCAATAACAGTCAATGAGGCACTGAGATAGCTAAGGATGGAAAAGACAGCGCGGAGAGCAGACACCCCGTCAGCAGGAGGGAAAGAACAGAGTGCAGTGGGCTTTGGCACTGTTGGAGGTACCTATCCCAGCCCACAAGGTAGAGTCGGGAACCCACGGGGATTGGCATTGCCAATCATGGGAGATGAGTACTGTGGGCAGCTGACACAGGACGGGGGGGGGGGGGGGGGGGGGGGGGGGGGGGGGGGCAGTCACGTGTGAGAAGAGCTGTGGAGGGTTTAAGGAAGAGAGAGGAAGCCTAAAATAAAAGAAATTTTACAAAGTTTAGTTGTTAAACTAAACAAGTCTACCTGTCATTTTTTGTTTCTTTTTTGCGGTACGCGGGCCTCTCACTGTTGTGGCCTCTCCCGTTGCGGGCGGAGCACAGGCTCCAGACGCGCAGGCTCAGCGGCCACGGCTCACGGGCCCAGCCGCTCCGCGGCACGTGGGATCTTCCCGGACCGGGGCACAAACCCGCGTCCCCTGCATCGGCAGGCGGACTCTCAACCACTGCGTCACCAGGGAAGCCCCTGTCATTTTTTTAGAGTTAAAAAAAACCCTTAACATTATAATGAGTTGTTCTTTAATATAATTTTCAATTCTATCCTGAAGAAAGATGACAGCAGACTTCAATGAAGAGGTTACATTTCAATACAAACTTATTTCAAAGTTTGAAAGCTTTGCTCAGTGTCAACAAGAGAAAAATGTTATTAAAACAATAATACTTAACTGCGTAGAGCAAATAAGCCACTGATTAATCCGGTTAAAATACGTGGGTCAATCAAAATATAAAAAACAGTAAAAAGTACTTTTTTGGGCAGGTCGGTTGCTTTGCTTTCTTTTATTTTTTTAAAGCAGAAGAAACCCAAAACTATAGACACAGAGATAAGTTAATATTCATCCAAAATAACGTATTATGAAAGAATTTGGTTTTAACTCACAGTTTGACGCTGTTTACATTTTAATGCCTCTTTCCATGGAAGCCCATGACATAATCTTAAAAGTAAAATGGAACATATTGGGTATGGATTTTAATATCAACATCTGGAAAGTAAAATTCTTCCATAGCAAGTATCTGTATTACTCCTCTCGTTCCAGTGATATCAGGAATATAAAAATGTAAAGAGCCAAGGTCAACATATTCTAATCATTAGTTCCAGGCCACTTGGAATGTATCTTATCAGGTAACCATTCTTGACTCCAACTTTTGTTTCTACCTATGGCTTTCTCACTTTCTCTCCCACATAAATGTGATACTATTTTTTTCCCACCTGTGAAAACAGGAGACGGGTAAGGTGGTGTAGGTGTGGATGATCTGGACTCTGACTGCTGGGCTACAAATCTTGACCTGTCATTTCTCAGCTCTGTAATCTTGGGAAAGTAAGAAAATCTTAACGGGGCTTTGAAAATGGACTAAAATAATCCATGAAATTCTTAGCACAGCGTCTGACACACGAATGAAGCTCCTTTTCCACACAATTGAAAAATCAAATCCAGTAATTAATATATTTTAGTATTAAGTAGAGGTCAGTGCATTTATGCCTGACTTGAGCCTCTGAATTACCTAGAGAGGTTTTAAATTGAATGTGTTTCTGATGCCAGGGATGGGACAGGCTCTGAAATAAGCCTTTTCCCCTCCGCTCATGGCCTTGTGATGCACCTGTTGGGAGCATCTCTTCCGTGTCCTAGGAAGGGAAGTCGAGTTACGCTGCCTCTGGGCCTGCCTCTACACCTCGGGAGTGGGACGGATCCTCTGATGGATGAAATGGGGACGAGTCTCCTCAGCCCCTCCCTTCTCGGAGCGAGCCTCCCTGCAGAGACCACAACTTGTCCTCCTCCTGCCTGTCCTGAGCCTTGTCCGGAGGGCCCCCCCACTTGGGAGACCGCATCTGACTCATAGGTAGGTGCCTTGTACTTACTTGGCCAAGCTGCCTAATAATGGAATAACTTTATAAACCCTTTCAGCCATCACATGCAGTCACGTCCTCCGATGCATCCTCCATCCCTGATCAGGGGTGATTTGGCCTCCGTCTTTACTGTTTGATTACCTCTCAGATGGTCCAGAACCCAGATGGTGCTTTTTATTCAGGGAACCCTCAAATGCTCCAATGTTAGACATAATCTCCAACACCAGGCAAGACACAGGGTCAGAGATAGGAAGTACCTTCCTCAAGGTCCCACTGCTTAGATACAGCAGATTTTGGTTTTGACCTCAAATGTTTTTTTCTTTATGTATTTATTTATCTCACTGAGACATAATCTACATAACACAAAATTCACACTTTCAAGGTGTACAAGTCAGTGCTTTTTAGCACATTCACCGATGTGTGTAACCACCTCATCTACTTCCAGAATACTTCCATCATCCCCCCAAAGAAATCCCATATACACTCAGAGTCACTTCCCATTTTCCCCTCACCTCATTCATCCAACCACTAATATACTTTCTGTTTCTATGGATTTGCTAATTCCAGACATTTCACATAAATTCAGTCATACACTGTGTGGCCTTTTGTGTCTGACTTCCTTCACTTAGCATAATGTTTTCAAGGTTCATCTCCTTTATAGCATGTGTCAGTATTGAGGCCACATTCTAGATAACAAGAAATCATTAGTTTTATACTTAAGAGAGAAAAAATGAATATTTGTATTTCCTACGTGAGGAAATTTTGTCACGATGATAGCTATTGGAAACCTTATATATCAGTTTAGTTTAAAACATGGAATGTGTTTAAAATAGTATCTTTGGTCTCGTGATGACAAATGGAAGGAAGGACTGAAATGGTCAAAATCAGAGGGTTTTCATGCCTAACTCCTTGCTGTCCACAAGTATCTTTGGTAAATGTTGATATGCAGCTTCAATCTTCGAACTTTTGGTTGAGAGACAGACAATACTGATTGAAAAATGGCTGGTGACTAGAGAGAGTGACAAAGGAGAATAACTAACTCCTCAAGGACCAAGGTCTACGACTTTATCACTAGGGAGAAGGCACTTACAGCTTGCTGGGAAGGGCTGGAAGGTCAGGGATGATCTCTTCATAGGGCTCCTCTTGGGCCAAGGTCTGAACACAGGAAGGCTCTTGCATTCTTCCTTCCCAGGCAGACTCGGCTTTCAGCAGCATTTCCTCAATAAACTCAGATGCGGCAACATCTACGAGTAACAATAAGGCGATCAGAGCCAGTGAGTGGGAACATCCCACAAAACTATTTACTTTCAATAATTCTGATATGTAACATGCTAAAATTTATCAACACATGAAGCAAAACAAAAAACACTAAAAGTTTATGGTGGGAATAAAATGGCAGTGCTACGATTTTTAAAGACTATTTTATGTTACATCAGTGGCATATTTAATTACATGACATAATATAAAATGACATAATATAAAATGACACAATATAAAAATAATATTCACTGAGTGGTCACAGGTAAAATGTGAAATCACTGAGAAGCTAAGCTGGAGAGAACTTAATGTCGTTTTATTCTCCGTGAAAGTCTTCCTTCATCCTGGTGAATGGGAATCAAAAGAGGAAAATAGGGGCTTCCCTGGTGGCGCAGTGGTTGAGAGTCCGCCTGCCAATGCAGGGTGCACGGGTTCGTGCCCCGGTCCGGGAAGATCCCACATGCCGCGGAGCGGCTGGGCCCGTGAGCCGTGGCCGCTGAGCCTGCGCATCCGGAGCCTGTGCTCCGCAATGGGAGAGGCCACAACAGTGAGAGGCCCGCGTATCGCAAAAAAAAAAAAAAAAAGAGGAAAATAGCTATACCTTCCCAAGGACTGGGCTCTTATGAAACATGTAGTAGGCATTCTATAAACATTCTACTAACTGGGTAGCTGTACAAATAACTACTCGGTTGTGTTTTTAAAACAGTGGGTCTGGCCTCTCTCTGTGATCTGGTGGGATTTCTTTTTCAATCTGAAATTAAAATAATTATATTTCCTTACAAATTACATGTGAACAGTGACATCTGAACATATTTGAGCAGCAATACAGCTGTGCATTAATCAAAATTACACTTACTAACAACTGAAACTGAAAATCAATACATCCTGAAGAAAAATCACATTAATAACAACTAAGAACCTAATGGCTGTGGCTACTCCTTTCCAATCCCCACGACTAAACTGCGTGACCTCTTGTGTCCATGAACTTCAGTTATGTGGCTTTATGGGCTGAGTGAGGTAATTCAGCTACCACAAGACGATATTGATGCCAGGATTTTATCATCATTTGCTTTAGATTAAATCATATCTGCATAATGAGTAGGAGACAGCTCAGCATCTTCTTCTTGGGAGATTATTTCCATACCAAGTAACAGCTATACCTCAAACTGCTTTTATCCCTCAGGTAATTTTTTGTGTGCCCGTTTCAAATTCAAGAAGTGCAAAATAACAAGAACATAACATAGTATTATTCAGCCATAAAAAGGGTCATTTGTAGACACGTGGATGGACCTAGAGACTGTCATACAGAGTGAAATAAGTCAGAAAGAGAAAAACAATTATCGTCTATTAACTCATATATGTGGAATCTGAAAAAAATTGGTATAGAGGATCTCATTTACAAAGCAGAAACAGAGACACAAACGTAGAGAACAAGTGTATGGATACCAACGGGGAAGCGGTGGTGGGATGAATTGGGAGATTGGGATTGACATACATACACTATTGATACTCTGTATAAAACAGATAACTAATGAGAACCTACTGTACAGCATAGGGAACCCTACTCAGTGCTCTGTGGTGACCTAAATGGGATGGAAAGCCAAAAAAGAGAGGACATATGTATACGTACAGCTGATTCACTTTGCTGTACAGCAGAAACTAACACAACATAGTAAAGCGACTATATTCCAGTAAAAATTTTTTTTAAATATATAGCAATGATGATGATTTTCATGTGCTCGGCCACAACATGGGTGTCTAGTTGATTGCTTTCTGCACTATCATTTTATGTGGTTCCTTCTTCTTGTTGTTGGTATATCCTGCATCTACCTGAAACTAATCGACAAATGTTTACTGAGAGACTACTGTGGTCCCATCACTGTGTCTCTCATGACCAACATGGCATGGAGAACTGATTATACTGATGCTAGGCTTTGCGTGACCAACGTGGGCAAAAATGTCTAAGAGAGTCATCAGACACTAGGCCTGTGGCGGCCAGGGCGGAATCTAGACCAGCAGCTTAGTCACTCCCAGGGCTCTGGGACCGTCATTGTCAATTGCCTTGAGTGTCTGTTTTGGTGAAACTGACACTAGACTTAAAAGGTCAAAGTGTGATAGACAGAGTCCCTGCAGTCCAGGGTCAATGATATATTCCATTCTCTGGGAAAAAAGCCAGAAATACGATCTGGAAAAATGTGATCTCCTGTTAGATCTAGAGTTAACAGAGGATGGGGTTTATACGTACAATAAAAATATTTTTGAAAAAAGATAGGAGAAAGCTACAAATTTCTATGTACTCTTCCAATATTTACCATTAGGCAAATTTTTGTAGATAATAGTAAGGTCACTACCCTATTATTAATATTAGCGTGGTTCTGAAGTTTGAGACTACTAAGCCATATTATAGTTTGTTAAATCTTCAATTTATTTTTAGCAAATAAGATCAATAAACATTAAGCAATGATACTTAATTCCAATAAAATAAGAAACAGAGCAAATCTCCCATTCTGTCTTAAACGGGAGGTTTATTGGGTAATTATACTCCTAGAAGCGCGTGAAATAAGAAATCTCAGGTGTGAAGTGCTTTCAGGTTAGTAGAGGTACAAAAACAAGAAGAATAAATATATTTAAGTTATTCAGATCAATTAATACCTTCAACATTTTTACATTATTTTGTTACTTATGCAAGACTTTTCTCTTTGTTATTCAGAATTCTTATTTTTAATATACCAAAAGTAACTTACTGGTAGTAACACTGTTGTCAAGTTTTAAAAACTAGAAAATGAATGTAGTACCCACTTTTGAAAAGAGTGGTAAAAAGGACTCTAGAAAATTTCAGAAAGAGATTTATTAAAAAATAAGTAAGATTTTCAAAGTTTTAAATTCGGTTGAGAATGTTAGTCTCTATTGCGTGCAGTATAAATATCTGCACAGAAAAAAATACTCTTACCATTTAAAAATACCCTAATGAGCAAGCATGTATTTGGTATGGTGAGAAACTAGCTTTAAATAACAGAAAAAATATGTTTTAAAGTAAGTGACACTGCAGGAATCACTGCCCGGGAAATTTAAAGCCCAAAGAGCACATTGCAATGAAGTCCCCATAAACTTAAATGCTCTCTGACAGATGCTTGTAACGTAGCAGTGCACAGGAGTTTGTGAATCATGCTTGAACTGGGTTGGGTTTCACAGAGCATCTCAGGAGAGGCTGACTCACTTTGGAGCTGTGTCAGTGATGGGTCAGCAACTTCAGTATGATGGGAAGAAGACAGTAACTGCTCAGTGGTCCAGGATGCTCACAACCTACCTGAAGCCTTCTCCTCGTTGCAGTTCAATAGGTGTGGATTTGCCTGATGCATCAAAAGAAGTTTCACCAGGTTTGCCTGAAACATTAAAGGTAATTGAAATAGGAAAGATTATGCTGGATACTTAAGATTCATCAGTAAATAATCCAAAGTTGCTATCCTCCAGGGGCACTGGTGGAATGAGAATGCATTAGCATAACCTACTATGCTACATGTTTCTTACTCTCTCCATTTCCTGTTTTGTATTTTTTTTAATGACATTCAAACTGTTTTATCAATTAATACATTCAAATAAAATATTACTCATCAAGTGGGTTGAGGATTTGAAAAGGTTCACTTAACGCCTTTCACGTTGATTTTAGGGCACCTAATGGGAGGAATCACATGTTACAGTGTGTTTTGTTTTAATTTAACAATTCATGAAAGCCACACTTCTTGTTACTGTCCATCCATTACAGCATCATGGACAATGTGAACCTAAGGTCCAATGGACAATGAGAAAAACTTCATCTCAAGTTATAAGAATAAAGCAACCTGGTGAGAGATTAATATATTTTTTTAAAGTTTATTATAAAATACATCGTACATACAAAGCATATGTATAAGGGACAGGTACCATTGAAAGAGCAAATAATGAAATAGAGTCCAGTGCACCCAAGTTTTTTAAATGTCATTCATAGTACGTTTGTGTGTTCCTTTCCCAAATTATCCCTGTTCCTACTTCCCAGAGTTGACCACCGTCAACCGTGAATTTTATGTTAACCATTACTATGTTTTCTTTGTAAGCTTAGACCTTACTTAAGAAGCATCCCTAATCAACACATCGCTTTGGTTTCATCTGTTTGTCTCATTAATAGAAATGAAATCCTGGTGTATATATTCTTCTGTGCTTTGCTTTCATGAATTAACATTGCATTTTTGAGGTGCACAGAACTGCACTGTACGAATACGTCACAATTTATCCACCTTCCTCTCAGTGGACATTCAAGCCATTGCAACCATTTACCTATATTTAAAAACAATGTTGCTATAAATATTCTAGTTTATATCTCTTAGTGTACACGTTCAAGAATTTCTTCAGGATAAATGTACTTAGGACTGAAATTGCTGGCATAAGGGTCTGGTCATGTACAAGTGATGAGATAGCTCCAATTTTTTTTTTTTCAAAGAGTTCAAGTTTACACTCTCACTGCCAACCAGAGTTCCTTTTGTTCCACATTCTATTTAATAATTTTATGACCGGCTATTTACATATTGCTAGATTCACATCCTCCCTAACACTTGATATTGTCATTTTAAAAAATTGAGCTACTATATACTGGGAAAGGAGTAGTAGCCCAGTATAGTTTAACTTGTATTTCCCTGCTGACAATGACATTGAACACCCCCTCACGTGCTTTATTTCCATTCTTATATTTTCTTTTGTGAAATATCTATTCAAGATTTCTTTGCCCATTTATTACTGAAGTGTTTTTCTTTGAATTATTGATCTATATGTTCTAGATACATTTGTCAGAAATATGTATTACCAATAATTCCTCCCATTCTATGGCTTGCCTATTCATCTTTTTAAAAATGTCTTTTGATGAACAGGATTTTTAAAATTTGTTTTACTTCTGTTTATGCATAACTTTCATATTTTTTTTTCTTTAGTTGTTAGTGCTTTTTAGGTTCAAATAACTCTTTGCCTACTCAAAGGCCATGACAATATCATAATACATTTCCTTCTAAAAACTTTATAATTTGAACTTTTATGTCTATGGTCCATCGCAAGTGAATTTTTGTAAATGGCACCTAAAGGCTTAAGGTTAATTTGGGTCCAGCATCCTTTGTTTCTCAGCAGTATTTGTTAAAAAGACTATATTTTCTTATTGAACTGCTTTTGAGGCAGTCTTGAAATAAGTAAAAAAACGTATATTCTTGAAAAAAGTATCTAATTCTTTTTCAAGGTAATTTTGTCTATATAGGTCCTCTGCATTTCCATATATACCTTAGAATGGATTTTCAATTTCTGTAAAAAAGGCTATAGTATTTTGATTGGGAGTGCGTGAAGTAAATAGATGCTATATTAGCTTTACATGGCTGCCATAAAAAATTACCACAAACTTAGTAGTTTAAACAATAAATAATAACTACCTCACACTTCTGCGGGTCAGAAGTCTGACACCGGTCTCACTGGGTTCAAACCAGGGCATTGGCAGCACTGTTTCCTTCTGACCCCAAGGGAGCATCTGTGTCCTGACTTTTCCAGCTTCCAGAGGCGTCCACATTCCCTGGCCGGGGGCCCCTTCTACATCTCCAGACCAGCAGTGTCGCACCTCTCCGACCATTTCCATTGTCGCATTTCCCACCAACCCTCGGCCAGGAATGGGTCTCTGCTCTTAGGGGCTCAGTGATCACAGTGGGCCCACCTGGAGATCCCTCCCCATGTCCAGATCTTTAACTTAACCACAGCTGCAAAGTTCTTCTGCCTTGTCAGGTAACACATTGACAGGTTCTGGCGATCAGGATGTGGACAGCTTTGGGGGCCACCATTCTGCCTTCCACAGGTACTATTCTCAGCAAAACCCACTGGCGTCCCGGGGGGAAAATTAGATGGAATCTAGGGGATAAGAAAACGTCTAACCTCTTCTTCTGTACTTAGTCTAGCTTCACTGGCTCACAGGGAGCCGCGGGCAGAAGCCTCGCACCCAGCCCTTCAGACCAGAGTTCCTGGGGCCAAATGGCTGCACTCAGAACACCTCAGCTCTGAGGGCCGTGCGCAGAAGCACCGCCCACCACACCTTGTCCAAGATGGTGGTGGCGGGCCGTGTGCAGAAATCTGCACCCGGCACTGGAGCTGTGAGCAACAAATGCACCTGTGCTACCCGCCCCCCAACCC